CACTGGTGGAAAGTCAGGATCCACTCTGGAGAATTTGGAAATGCTACGGTTGGAACAGCTGCTTCCCTACGACTTTAAAGTCAGAGGATCTGATGCTAAACGTGGCCCATCTGGTTCCTTCAATAATCGGATTAAACATCCGACCGTGTTTGATGACAGTTGACAATCAGAAGAAACCAGAGCAGAAGCAGAGCTTGTTGCTGTTATGATCTGCCCTGAATTAATTGTTCATTTCTCCACCTGCCTACTTCTGCCTGGTCACTAATTATCACTGATCTCATCCACCTGCATCCGTTCCTCTATATTGGGCTCAGTTCCAGCTATCGGGGCCAGATCATGATTGCTCCCCGTTTATTGTTTCCTTACTTTTAGTTAGTCCAGCGTTCATGTCCCCGTTCCAGTGAGGAGATTATTCTGGAGCCAGTGTCTTCAGGCGAGTTTAGTCCCTACCCAGTGGTGAGAGCGTTTTAGGGTTTCCTTTGTGATTCTGATTTCCTGATCCTGTCCCTCTCACCCACTGGTCCTGTCTGTCCCCGTCTGATCTGTTTGCCTGAACCATCCTTTGGACTCTTGCTGGATTCTGCCTGTCTGTGCATTTCTGTCTGAGCTTGTTGCTCCGAACCTTCCTTCACGCTACGCGGATTCCTGGAAGCCTGGATCCCTGTTTCCTGTTTGGGTCAGAGCCTCCTGGATTCCTGAGCATGATCTGTTTTCCCCTGACCCGGATCAGCTGCCTGCCTGTTCTCCGGGGCTGCAGCATCGGGGACGCTCTGGTCAGCTCAGGGCTGCATCTCATTGGCTGATCCTGCCTATAGCTGAGGGGATGGTCTGAGCTGTTAAACCAGTATCACCCCCCCCCCCTGCAGTCGCTGCACGTCCGCAGATCCACATCAGCTCCATGCTTCTGTTCTGTCGGTTTATGGTTGTGTTTTAATAAACTAATCCTACTGATAGTCTCACCTTGAGTACTGGCTTCATCTGCTCCGTTTTATGACAGTTTCAGGCCGAGGTTCTGCAGGACTTCCTTAGATTCCGAAAAAAATGCTAAATAAAAAGGATGTTTTTTAGATTTTAGGACTGAAAGAAAATTCTTTTATTCTTTGTTTGAATCCCTAATGCCCTTTAACGTGTTTTCTGATCAATGTTTTGTTTTTCTGTGGTAGAAAATGGATCGAACATCTATAAGAAGCCTCCTATCTACAGACAGGGTGAGTCTGGGACACTGAAGCAGGAAGATCAGCGCCTCTGAGGCTGAATGTGGGTCAGCTGCTGCAGCCCCCCCCCTTTAATCAGCTTTAACATGCTGTATGTGTGTGTGGGTGTGGGTGTGTGTGTGTGTGTGTGTGTGTGTGTGTGTGTG